ATCTAGGATCAATTATAAGGTACTGATATTAAAATGGATCTACAGATCTACAAGGTTTATGTCTTGAGTAACACAAGATCAAGCCAAATGACAATTTATTTATGTAAATATTTCAGAAGCATATGCTTGCAGTGCAAATGTAAATATCCCTTATAGTAAAGAAATTTTTCAAGTATATTACTTATGTTTACTTTATTTCAAATTGCAGGAAGTTGTTTTCTTTCAAAGCAATGCAGCTCAAACAAGTGTATTATTAATATAGATAATTTTAATCACATTTGTATAATTATGAAAGTACAATAACTGAAGTAAGACACACGCACTAAAGTGTGATGAGAAGATTCCATATAGATCAGCAGTTCTAGCTTTTATGTTACAATACAAAACATAGAATAACTATATTTGGAATGAGTAGTTACACAATTCAAAATAGAATCTGGTATGGTATATGAAGATCAGCAACACTGTTTATATCAAATGATAATTCAGGCTCTATATGCAGGGATGAAAGCCTCAAATTTTTGTCAAATTCTAACGGTCTTAAAGAATTTGATAGTAAGTATAGATTAAGTGGTTTGCTATAAAGAATTGCAAAAATAGAACCACAAATACCATGAGGCTATATAACAATATAAAACAGAGTTATGTCCTAGAAATTTGGTACTCAAGTAATTTAGTAAATTTCACAACAACGTCAACAGTGGTAGAAATGTAACAATGTAGCAAATAATGTGTTTATGTGAAGCTCTAATTCAGAAATCAAAGTTAATCAATTTCAACTAAAAAAAATGTGATCCAATATTGCAATATGTTCAATAACCTAAAGAAGTAGAGGGAAGATAGCAATACATAAAATTTATTTAGGTTAATCAAGAAATGATCACCCAACAATATATAATAATTTTTTTAAAATATAGCCTATAAGTCTAGTGTTAATCAAAGTTAGACCAGTTACAAGAGTATGACAATATCTAAGGATTCATCTTTCTTAGGTGTAGAAGTATACACTGATGTACAATTAATAGTTAAGGTGCTCTATCATGAGTTCCAACACATATAGAATGATATTCCCAAGTTGTTTATTTTTTTGTCTTACTCATGTTAATGACATCCATTTTCTCGAGTATCCATCGAGGTACAACAATGGCTTAAACCCTTTGAATAATACCAATGCATCCCTAAAAATAGAAATATACGCATACTCCACTTTGAGAGTCCAACATGCAATATTAGTGAAGAATTATTTTTATTGAAATCCATGAAGGCCCACATGAATGAGGTCTCCCATTAAATTATACAAGCATGAATTCAGAAGTGAATTGTTCCCAACAATTCAAACCATCAACACTCCATTAGAATTATCACTTAACCTACACCAACAATTTAACAAAAATTAAAGAAGAAGGAAGAAAATTTTCATTTTAACTAGATTAATTTCGCTCCAAATGCAAAGAACTTCCAGCTCCTAACTCTTTCAGAGATGCAAACATCCTTCTGTCTACAATTGCACTGAAAATGCTGCCTAAGTGAGAGATAATATTCTCCTCTAGCTATCGTTGATTGAGAGTGTGTTAAACTAAGCTACTAAGTGGAAGATTATGGTAAATTTGTGGACAAGCAAGATAAAAAGGTTTGTTTTAGGTAATGAGGAAAGTGAAGTGAATGGATGAGGGTGGGGTTTAAGGTTAAATGTGTGGAAGGGTAAAGTTCAAGGACACATAATTAAGTGGTCTCCAAGGCTGCTCTTAGGGTGCTTCACAACATGCAAAGGAGAGCGGAAAGAAAGATATGCAGGTGGAGAAAAATGGTTCTGCCGATGGAAAGAAGAGGAATGGGCAGAGAAAAAAAAAAGTGTTTTGTCACCGTGCAAAACTCTTAGAAGGCTTTTATTAAGGTGGCTTTTATTGTATAATTTTTTTTTTTATATTTATTTCTTTTCTTCACACTCGTTTTTTTTCCTTTAGATCTTGCTATTGAATTGGGGAGAAGATAAGAGAGTTTTTATTTTCCATATATAGTCTCACATTTCTTTTCATTCCCTCCTTAATTATTCTAAATTGGCAACTTTACTCTTTCTAACAATATTTATTTTAACCATTTAATTCTACATGCTAACAAGTGTCAGAAGAGGAATTAGCAATTCAATCGAGTGCCATACTTGGGCCTAGGGTACCTAGAGAAGCTTTCATTTCAAGGGGAGCATACTAATATGTGATTTCACAGTTGAATGATAGATTTTTAGGATATTGAAGTGTGTTGGAGTTCTATCTTGGTTGTTAATGGAATAAGTGAAGTCCATATAAGTGAAAGAACTTATAAACCTAATGTTTTAAGGTTTTGGGTTAAGGTATAGTGTTCAATCCATTTGTTATGATTGGTGCAGCTTAACTCATTGGTAATGATCCACCACTACGAACTCTTCATCGTCCGCTTGACGATATCCACCACAAGACCATGTCTTCCCTTACTCAACATATTTTCCTCATTGAAGTGTCTTGTTGCTTTCAGTGTCCTAGATAAGTAATCTTTTCGTTGAACATTATTTGTTTTGACCTCCATTTCCTTACTCCTTCATCCTCTCTCTGCTCCTGAGTTTGCAATAGCAGGTTTCCTTTTTTTCTACCTCGCTACCCTTTACTCTAAGCTTCTTGTGCCACCGTAACAAGTTGAAAGTATAGCCACTACATCACAATGCCAAAATGCATATTCCATCCTAAGCCACGTCAATCAATATTACCGAACCTCCTCCTCTTCATTCTTACATTTTCACATTCCTACGCAATAGTTTTCCACATAACCTCTGGTTTTTAGCAAATACAAAAGGGTCACTGAATCGAGAACCAAGAAAAGTTGTTTACTAATAATTATCCAATTGTATACATACAAAATGGAAGGAAAAGAAATTACAATAACTTGAAACTAGAAATTTATAGGACAAAAGGTGCGTCTATTTTTTGGGACAACACAATTGTAGTCAATGAAAATCCTACAAAGCCTTCAATCAGTTTAGTCCACATGTAGGACATCATTCAATTTTAAATACATATTTATAATACACAAGGAAATATCCAAAAATAGACTATCATTTGATAATGGCCTCATTTAGTACTTATAGGCTATTAAAAACATGCAAAAGGTACCATGTCATCTTAATTTTGAAACTAAATATATTCTAAAGCTAATATATTTTTATAATCAATTTCAATAATATAACTCTATAACTCAATTTTGATATTTTTGAAATTTAAATGTTCTTGCTGTAGATCTTATATTTGAGTAATTTTTTTTTTTTGGTTTTCCTTTCGAATTCATTAATTATTCGACAAATTCGGTTTGTGTTGGGCATAATCATAAAGGGTGGCAAAACTCTATGTATCAATATTTGAGTAATGTAATACTAAAATAGTGATTTATATTTTATAATCCATGAATTGTTTGCTTTAAAAAAACTAAATATGTTCGTAGTGTATAATATTTATATATTTCCTTGAGATACACCACCCTAAAAGCTAGTTTAAGGGGTGAGAGTGCCAAAGGCCTTATAAAGGCCATATTAGTTGTCCATCCAATCAATGTAGGACTATATATCTCAACACGCCCCCTCACGCAAGAGCGCTTTAGGCTAGAAGCGTGAAAATTGCACAGGCCCATTTTTGGTTTACCTTTTTGTGCTTTTATTTATTTATTTTTAATTCCACTTTAAAGTGGGGGACGGTGAGGCTCTGATACTATGTAATACACCACCCCAAAAGCTAGCTCAAGGGGTGAGAGTGCCCAAGGCCTTATAAAGGCCATATTAGTTGTCCATCCAATCAATGTGGGACTATATATGTCAACAGTTTTTGGTGAACTGGAAGTGTATACTTTAAAGAAGTATATTGTAGCATATTACAAGATAAAAAAAAGAGTTCTGCCAGTGATATTTTGATGGAAGTTATTTTTTGGCCACAAAGAGTTCACTCCAAGGGTGAATGAGCCGACACTTATGATGCACAGACACTGACACGGGACACGACACGACACACCGACACGTTAATTCTAAAAAATGGCATACTTCGACACGTTAGGACATATTTTGATATTAAATAATATTTTTAATATATATAATATAATTTATATTTAATAGATATAACAGTCCATAACAAGCCAATCAAATATTCAAATTTCATAACATAAATATAAACAAAAATAATTTTTCGTATCTTGTTAATTTTTCATGTCAAATTTCATAACAGAAAAAAATTAATATATAAATGATTTTTTTATTTTTAGTTAATAAAATAAAATTAAGAGTAAAAAAAAAAACGTGTCCAAGCGTGTCCCAACGTTGACCACGTGTCGAAAAAAGTTGACTGCGTGTCGAAAAAACGTGTCGGAGCGTGTCAGAGAGTTGACCATGTGTCCTAAAATATTGACCGCGTGTCCGTGTCGGACACGTGTCCGACACGCACAATTTCAAAAACAAAGCGTGTCCGTGCTTTGTAGACCAACACTATCCATCACTATCCCTAATTTTTTTTAATATATATAAATAAAAATTGAACACGAAACATAATACAATTATTCAAATCATGTTTGACTGTTCTCTAAATTTGGAAAATACCACTTCCATCAACCATGTCTTCCAAAGAAAGATCACTATCATTATCTTCATCACCCTTTGCATTTTACCTTATATACTACAAAATAAAGAGTCTAGGCCAGATTTTTTTTTACCTTAATAGAGGTATTTGGTAGAGGAGATTTTTTTTTTTTTTATCCGAAAATTTCAATTTTTAAAAATATAATTTTTAAATTCAACTTACGATAATATTTAAAAATTTAATTTTTCAAAAATTCTGGAGAATACCGCGTGCCAAACGTCCCCTAAGAGCTAAACAAGGACTATAATATATCGGAATTCTTTTGCATTTTATTGACATTAGATTTTAAAAAATATCTAAACAATGTAAAATAGTCCGAAACATTTTTAATACGACTTAGGATACGAGACAGAGAGAGAAGGAGGGTTTTAAGTTCAATGGAGGCAGTGCTGCATAGTGTTGGCGTTGGTCTATGTACCCCGCGACTCATACACAATTCTAGAAAACCTAACAAACACCATTCCTCTTTTGGCCGCGGCGGTAACGGTTCTTTATCCGCCACTTGCTCCGCCACCAGCAAATGGGCGGAACGTCTCATCTCCGATTTCCAATTCCTCGGCGACGCTTCCTCCGCCGCCGCACCTCGCCCGTCCCTCCCTCCACCTCCTCCGGAACGCTACCTCTCGATCCCTTTGGACTTGTACCGAATTCTGGGCGCCGAAACGCACTTCCTCGGCGACGGCATTCGTAGGGCTTACGAGGCGAGGAACTCGAAGCCTCCTCAGTACGCTTTCAGTAACGACGCTTTAATCAGCCGTCGCCAAATTCTTCAAGCCGCTTGTGAAACCCTAGCTGATCCTGCTTCTAGAAGAGAGTACAATCAAGGCCTCTTCGATGACGAGGACGCTACCATTCTCACCCAAGTTCCTTTCGATAAGGTTCATTTAATTTAATTTAATTCAATTCTATTATTGTTTTGATTTACGAGCTTGTTTGCTTGAAAACTGAAATAATAAAAAAAAAAAGCTATTGGGTTTGTGTAGGTTCCTGGAGCTTTGTGCGCGTTGCAGGAAGCTGGAGAGACGGAGTTAGTGCTTCAGATTGGACAAGGTTTGCTTAGAGAGAGGTTGCCAAAGTCGTTTAAGCAAGATGTTGTTTTGGCTATGGCACTCGCTTATGTTGACATCTCAAGGGATGCTATGGCTTTGTCCCCACCTGATTTCATTGCTTCCTGTGAAATGCTCGAGAGGGCATTGAAACTTTTGCAGGTTAATACCTCAATTTTGTGAATGAAAAATATGTTAAGTTTATTATTGCTTTTTGAAATTTACTACTGTTGCGTTTTTAAAAGCTACATTATGATTTTTTTATTTTTTGTTGCTTGTGTTTAATGTGCGGTAACATAATGCATATATCATATAGGTTGAAGACTTTTTAAGTGTTTTGCAATAACTTACTTGATCATGTAGGAAGAAGGTGCAAGCAGCCTAGCACCAGATTTACAAGCACAAATTGATGAGACGCTAGAAGAGATAACCCCACGTTGTGTTTTGGAACTTTTAGCCTTGCCTCTTGGGGACGAACATCGAACGCGGAGGGAGGAGGGTCTTCATGGTGTCCGCAACATTTTGTGGGCTGTTGGAGGAGGGGGAGCAGCAGCAATTGCTGGGGGTTTCACCCGTGAAGATTTCATGAATGAAGCATTTGTACATATGACAGCGTCTGAACAGGTGTTCATGGATTATTTTTTGCATGCTTTTTTTTTTTTTCTGTGTTTATTCATAAAGAATTTAGATTTATCTTTTTCTTCTTTCCCTCAATCTTGTTTTGAAGGTTGAACTTTTTGTAGCCACACCAAGTAATATTCCAGCTGAAAGCTTTGAAGCCTATGGGGTGGCACTTGCACTGGTTGCACAAGCATTTATAGGTAAAAAACCACATCTTATACAGGATGCTGATAACTTATTTCAACAACTTCAACAAACTAAGGTAACAACTGTGAGGAATGCTCCCTCTGTTTATACTCCCAAGGAGAAGAGAGAGGTTGACTTTGCTTTAGAAAGGGGCCTCTGTGCACTGCTGGTTGGGGAGCTTGATCAGTGTCGGTCATGGTTGGGACTAGATAGTGATAGCTCTCCTTATAGAAACCCATCTATTATAGAATTTGTTATGGAAAATGCAAAGGGTGATGAAGACAGTGATCTTCCTGGACTCTGTAAATTGTTGGAGACATGGTTGATGGAAGTGGTATTCCCCAGATTTAGAGATACTAAAGACACAACATTCAAGCTTGGAGATTACTACGATGATCCAACAGTGCTGAGATATCTAGAGAGGCTGGAGGGTGTTGGTCATTCACCCTTGGCTGCTGCCGCAGCTATAGTTAAAATTGGAGCTGAGGCTACTGCTGTTATTGGCCATGTCAAAGATAGTGCAATAAATGCATTGAAGAAGGTATTTCCTGTTGGTTCTGAGGATCAAATTGTCAAAGATCAGAAAAATGGTGTGAAGGATTATGTCAGCCTCTCTGACAGTGACAATCCTCTGATATTATCTGATCAGGATACTTCAGCCAGTGTTGGGGTTTCTGGAATTAAAAATTCTGCCGAGATAAGCGATGGTGAATTTATTACTAACGAAATAAAAAATGCAAGTGTGATGATCATGTGTGCTGGTGTTGTAATTGGACTTGTAACTTTGGTTGGTTTGAAGGTTTTACCTGCTAGGAATGGCTCACCCATCCTACGCAAAATGACTGGTTCAGCCATGGCATCAGATACTATCAACTTAGGTATGGTCTTTAGAGACATCTGCAATCTGGAACACTAGTACAGATATATTTTTTTAATTCATGATCTGAATGATTCAATTACCACAAATCTGTAGTTAGGTTATATAAGTTCATAGTGTAAACTTCTAGTAATAATTGCTTATTGTATAATATAATGCGGATTCAACTGCACAGATCCCTTAGGAGCTGAAGAATCAGGAGAGCAACTACCAAAAATGGATGCAAGGGTTGCAGAAGCTCTAGTTCGCAAGTGGCAAAATATCAAATCCCAAGCTTTTGGACCTGACCATTGCCTTGGAAGATTGCAAGAGGTAAGGAATTTAACTGGTCCTTATAAAACTGGAGGTGGTAATTACAGTCTTTCAAAATTTAGTATGAATGTGATCAATGCACTGATAATATATATTGTTATTACTATGGTTATGTTAAATCTGGCAATTATGCAATCATGCGTCTTGTGCAATTTATCCAAGGCTTGTTGTGCAATTATGTGTCTCTACTGGTGTTTATTAGTTTTTTTCTATGAATCCCAATCCAGTATGATGGGATACTATTTATATACGAGGTATTTTTCAATTTTTAACGGAAATTGAAAACTTTGTATCTAACAATCTTTCAAATAAACCGACTCCGCTCCTCACCACATGATATTTTTCAAAGGGGTTCCAGCCTCCTCCGTTGAAAAATCTCCTGATGTTAACAAACTATTTACTTCTTCCCAATCCGTGCCCTTCATACCCCGTCCCTCACACTGATCCAAAAAGGGCATTGTATATTCATCTTGATTTAACAGAACTTAACTAATCTTTCAGATTAGAAACCCAAATCAGATTGAATTTGATCTAGAATAACATGAGCCCTTGCATGCGATTGATCATATACATGTGCACGTATGGGCAAAGTCACCATGTTTATATATGGGATATTGAGAAGCAACGTCTAATGAACTGTATGATATTATATTATCTGTAGGCTTTTCTTTCTCGTGCACGAGCAATGAGTATTTGAATATTTTCTTCTGATTTTGTTGCTTTTTGACTGCAAACAGTCTTGAGGCACAGTTATTTAGTGAAATATCATCTTTGTATATATGAAGTTTTGCTGAAGTTAAGATCTGGTAGGTTTTGGATGGTGAGATGTTGAAGATATGGACAGATCGTGCAGCTGAGATTGCAGAGCGTGGTTGGTCCTATGTCTACACCTTGGAGGACCTCAACATCGATAGTGTGACGATATCCCAGAATGGGGTCCGTGCAGTGGTGGAAACAACTCTCAAAGAGTTAACCCACCTCACTGCTGTAGGTCATCCACAACACGATGCTTTGAACAGTAGAACCTACACAACAAGATATGAGATGTCTTTTTCAGGTTCAGGTTGGAAAATTGTTGAAGGAGCTGTCCTTGAGTCATAATTAGATTTTCTAACTCGTTCAGGTTATCATACATCAAAATAACGTTGTTCACTTCTCAAGCACGAGTGTAGTCAGGTTGTAAATACTAACGGTATTTGCTATCAGATTATGAGATGAGATGAAAAGGAAATGGCGAAGTAGGCAAGTGTTGTATTATCCGCTTTTGGATGGTCAATTATGAAAGGGAAACGAAAAAAAAGTTATGTGGGAGATGTTACTTCCAGATTATGTACCAAGCTGGTTTATTCCCCAGTTAATCCTTGGAAAATGTGGATTTATGGGTCCAACAAATAGCTAAGTATGACTGGGATAGGTTATTCTGTCTACTTTCAATTTGCCTACTTTTGTCTACTTTTTTTTATTACTGTTCGATTACAATCTAATTCAACGGTTCATATTTGCGAAATAAAATAAATCTTTTTTTCTCTTTCTTTCTCCTCATTTCCTCTCACATCCTTTTTCTTTCATCCCCTTTCTCTCTTCCTCTATGCCATATCTTTTTTTTTCCCTTCATCGCTGGTGTCTACCGCCATGGACCTCTTTAACCCCCCCACCCTCTCCAACTCCATGTGCAGTGAGAAGCTTTTCAACTTTAGAAAAAGAATTTGAAAAAAAAACCCTTTCTTTTTATGCAACTCTATCGTGGCACAAATTGGGAATTGATAAAATTCCCTGTTAATCGATTGTGTCTGCCACCGTGAATAACTTTTTTTATCGCTTGTGTAGCTTATCAGGTTTTTTTTTTTGGCACTTCATTTGTAAAATAACAAAAGCAAGATTCAAAGAAACTTTAATAATAGCTAATCACAAACGAATGCAATAAGATATATCAAGATTAACTACTCGACCATAAACCAAAGCCTTTTTACCAGTGGGTACTGTTATTACTCCAAGGAAGATTGAATAGTCAAAATTGTTTCTTATAACAATCATCAAATGTAAAATGCCTCTTCACAAGCATTATTTTGTAGAATCAGCCGTGCTCCTGATACTGTTCTTATTCCTGCATTACTTTGTGGGTCCACGGCGGTAGACACCAGCGATAAAGGAAAAAAAAAGTATGACGTGGAGGAAGAGAGAAAGGGATGGGAGGAAATGAGGAGAAAGAAAGGAAAAAAAAAGGTTTATTTTATTTTATATCACAGATATGGACCATTGAATTATATTGTAATCGAACAGTAACGAAAGAGGTAGGCAAAATAAGAGTAGACAGAATAACTTATCCTGTTATGATTTTATATGTGGAGAATATTTTTCATCGATAAATTTGTGTAGACTTTAATGTATATAAATTGTGTATAATAAGCTAATCAACAGAAATCATTATTATATATTAAATAATTGCATAAATTTATGTGCTTAATGATTTTATTCGAGTGAATTTCATTTTATTTTCATTATAAAATAACGGTTATGCTTAATAAACATGCAATGATTTATTTTAATGGAGAGTTGGTCCAGGTAAAATTTTTGGGTGCACGGGTGCAAGTTCGTTTCAGTACCCTTCGTGTCACGTTTTGTGTATATCATATATAAGAAAACAAAAGGAAGGAAGAAAGAATATAGTGAGTACCGCAGTGGTTAAAAACTTAAAATTAGCTCTTTAAATTCATTGTCGAAAGTTCGATCATTATATAAGTATTTTCATATGGGATAGGTTATATATAAAGAAAACAAAAGAAAGATATTTTGTGCAAAAAAATTCTGGATATGACATCTCGTTCTACCGTCTATACATTGATAAACTGCACCTAAAACTCTTACCTGATCCAACTCTCCATTTAAGTAAATTACCGTATTTTTGGGGAACATAAGTGACATAACCGTTCCGTCATATCATCATTTTATTGCACAGTTTGATAACTTAAGGAATGATATTGTTCACACAAGTATCTCCCATCGAGTTAGAGCAGACGAATTTTTTACCTTGATCAGTAATAGCCATATAAAGCCCATTAGATAGAAGAGGCCCATTGAATCAGCTTAAATGTCCCATTGAATCAGCTTAAATGTCAACATATATATATATATATATATATATATATATATATATATATATATGTGGATCAGTGGTCTATTGTAATCAAGTTACTTTACATTTTCAATATACAAAAAGAATTATTCAGTTACATTTCTCTTCAAGATCTTTCAATCTCTCTCTTCGTTTCTCACATGGTATCACAAAGCTAAAAGATCCATGGACAAATCACGCGCTCAAACCTCTGTTCAATCTTTCTCCAACCCAGTCTCATTCAAACTCGATGAATACAATTTTTTGCCCTGGAAACAACAGGCTCTTGCCACCATCAGAGGCTATAATCTTGATCGCTTCATTGCTGGGGAACTTCCAACGAAACGTGCAGCAAAAGAAAGCTCATCAACAACTTTAGAAAAAGAAAAAGAAAAGGAATCAATGGACAAAGACACTACTGCTGATCAAGAAACCTCAAGATCCATTGAAATTCAACAAGATCAACTGCTACTATCTTGGCTCCTATCTTCTATGTCCGAAACAGTCTACACAAGAATGGTGGGCTGCCAGACTTCTTTTCAAATCTGGACAAAACTAGAAGAATTCTTTACATCACACACTAGAGCCCGTATCAAACAATTGAAAACTCAATTGAAAAACAGCAGAAAAGAAGGACCAGCATCAACATACCTACTTCAGATCAAAAAGGTTATTGATTCTTTAGCAGCAACCGGATCACCTATAAGCACTGAAGATCACATTGAAGCTATCTTGGATGGCCTTAATGAAGACTATGACAATTTTGTCACCTCCATCACTTCAAGAACCGATGCCTACACAGTAGGAGAAATTGAGGCCCTCCTCATGGCTCAAGAACAACGTATTGAGAGACACAGAGTTCGTGAAACCACGACTCTACAAGCCAATATGGCCCAAATGCAATTTCGCAAACCTTACAACGCCTCTAATTTCAATAGAGGCAGCTTCCCTTCAAACAGAGGTGGAAGGTACACTAGAGGACGACTTTCAAGAGGAGCAGGAGGACACACTCCCACCTATCGTCCCTCCTGTCAAGTCTGTGGCAAGCCAGGTCACCAAGCATGGGAATGCTTTCACCGGTACAATCAGAATTATCAAAATCCCTTCACTCAAACCAACAGTGTAACATCCCCGTCTCGAGCCGGTTCAATTAACATACATATGATAAAACAGAAAACAGCGGAAGACTTAACTTCTGAAAATACGAGCTAACTTTTTCTTTTTCTTTTTAAATTCTCATTCGTCGTAAACGAAAATCGGGCAGAGTTTCCTCTATAAATCGGACAACTGGGGATTTTCCAACCCCCCACACAGAAGCATTTCCTGATAAACAGTTTATACAAATATAATCAAATGCCCATCCATGGGCGCATGCATAACTTGGCTCAGTGCCACTATATCTAACCGCATGCAATCCAACACGTAAACATATCTGAATACTACCTCATCACATAACGTGCCTGAATACCCAAATGTACATGCATCAAAGCGACAGACGTGTACAAAACATATACAGGCCATATACAAAATAAAGGATCAATATCATGATCCATCAAATGCGAAAATACTAAAATACATCAAACACTCCAAAAAGGTAGTAGCCTACAGCCACTCAAAATCCGATCTGTCAACTACCTCAGCCACGTGTCGTGTCCCTGCCTAGTGAGGACTCACCGGGAATCTGGGCACCTGAAAATGTGTCCCCAAAGAGGGGTGAGATTACAAATCTCAATAAGCTCCAGGTTTATAGAGAATACTCCATACCCCTGGCTCACTCCTGCATGAAAGTCAGATACAAAGTATACGAATACAACATATAACAGATATCATAACAGAACAGAGCATATATCCATATCATATCAGAGATGTGCGCCGTCATTCCCAAGGGAGGACCCCAAGCGGAAATCAACGCACGTGTTCCCGAGGGAGGACCCCAAAGCGGAACCAGACATATCAGAGGCGTACACCATCAGTCCCGAGGGAGGACCCCAAAGCGGACGTCCGGGTACTATACAATCAATGGCCAGAGATTGTTACAGAAATCATATTACAGAAGTCATATCAGAGCAAAACATATCATGTTATCAAATAACTCTATATGAATGCATCTATACAAAGCATCTAACTCACAGTCATACAGTCCAACCATAGTTCACTAACCATGGTGGAGCACTCAAGCAGGAAAAGACTCCTTAAACCTAGAGCTTACCTCTTGAAGCTTTACCAATACGCTTACTTGTGGACCAAGTTACTTTTATCGCTTCAAGAGATTTCCGATCCTTCTCAGTCCCTAGGCACACCTAGAGAATAATTTACAATGCATCAATAAGATGATACTACGCCATGATTATTTCATAAGCATACATTTTATCGCTTATTTTCCTTTCTTTATACTTTTGCCAATGTTATGCCAATACACAAGTCTAGACCACCTTATACTCGTTAGCATTCTTTAATTTTAATCAAGTATTCACTTGAGAATTTTCAATATCATTCATGCCATTTTACTTCAAACGCCGCGGACATACCCTTAGGAAATCAAAGTATTTTTCAACCATTTTTCGAGTCATTTCACTTCTTAACTCATCAATTTTATACAATGAATTACAACACATTTTATTTACAATAAAATGTAACAAAATATACTCCTATACCACCCTCTAGGTCGAACACTACAAGGACATAGACAAAGGTTCTTTTTCTTCACTTACACGTAACTTACACATACAAATACATGTTTTCATAAGGTTCCAACTTAATTTTTGGAGCATAAAGTCCCTCCAAAGCCCCACAAGGCCTAAACCTAAGGGCATATTTCATATAATTTTTCCCACTTTGGCATTCTCACTAATTTATCAAATTTCCACTTAATTCCTACACCTTAAACCTTCCTAATACTTAAGATAAAATTTTTGCACAACAACCTACTCTTCACCTATGATGGCCGAACATGTAAAGGAAATCATAGGATTTTTTTCTAATTTTTTTACATACATACACATGCTTATTTTCATTTTATACATCAAAATATCAATTATTCCTCATCAATACATATTTTAACACATCATGCTTTCCCACCCAAGGCATATACACAATTTTATAACTTAAATAATCAAAACAACATCATGGAAATAGAGGTTTGTTACCTCAAATCAACTACCCAAAGCCTAGAAGACCTACACCAAGAGAATCTCCATCAAAAACTTCATTTTGCCCTCTTGATGAATAGTACACGAATTTGGGGAAGGAAATATCTCCTCACACAACCAATGATAGCTCAAATAAATGGGTGGGATGGACTCATTGGGTGGTTTCCCATCGATTTCAAGTAGTGGGACTTGTGATTTGGTTAACTTTTGAGTGAGAATCAAAG